GCTGGCGTTTGCCCCCCATGCTGCAGGAGCATCCCGGAACAGCCCTGCCCCAGTTGAAAGGCAGGTCAGGAGCCTGCCCTCCCCAGTCTCGCCAGCCCTTCCCCGCAGGTACGCTGCCGACAGATCCCCAGCCAGGGAGATGCTTTCCGCCAGCTCGGAGAGGTTTGCAGACGAGCAAAGCAAACCCCGCCGGCTCCCCGTGCGAGCGCCTGTCCTCCGTGAACTCCGGCGTGTCTCTCGTAGCCGGGCTTGTGGGAACAGATCAGAGGCTGCTGTGACTCAGCTGCTTCTCCCCTGAGAAAATCCGCCCTGGCATCATGCTCGGCTCCGTAGCTGGGGCTCCTGGCACCTGGCTGCCTTCATCAACAAATGGCCTTGGGCAAAACATCCTAATTTCCACTGCCAAACATTTACAGGGGAGAAATCCGGCATCTGATCTTGCCGGAAGCTGGGGCAGCGACTCCGCTGCTGAACGGAGCTGGGGGGAAAGTCCCATCCCTACCCGAAACAGAGCCCTGGGCTGGAGCGGCTGCGGTGCGGGCTGGCTGTTCGGCTGCCTTCTGGCCTGCCCCTGCCTTTTTCCAGCTCGTTATAACTTTCTCAGACAAATTCTTCTGTAACTGTAATTTTCCTTGCTGGCTCTCAGCCCAAAGAAACAGTGGTTTGGAAAGTTTGCTCAATGACTCGAAGGGAAGAGGCTCCTGAGCCTTTCATCCTCTGTGCCCGCTGGAATATTTTTTTTTCCCTAGGGCTAATCTGTGGAGCATCACGCTTGGCTTGACGAGTCCGTGACGCTCTCAAGAAACAAAGCCAAGCCTGGCGAGTGTGTGCTCAGCTGCTGGGAAGCCCTGAGCACCGCTGCCGGGCTCCAGGCATCGCCGGCTGCTCTTTCTGCTCCTCTGCTTCACCCAGTACTGCTGGCCCGGAGCCTGGGCAGGCTGGTCCTGGGGCGGGCAGAGGGGACCGACCCCATGGTGTGGGGCCAGTGTGCTCGCCACTGGGCTTTTCTTCTGCAGGGGCAGGCAAAGCGGAGATGCTGATCTCGCGGTGTGGTTAAGGGATGGAGGGGCCTGGAGAAAGGGCTGGTTTGCTCGTTGTTGCCTTTTCATGTCAAAAGGGAAAAGTACCCAGTTTTCTGACGACGGTTTTGACGTTATGACGTGCCCCTCGGCACAGTGCAGGCTGGCACGGCTTTAGCCGTGAGTTTCACAACTCTTTTGCGGGTTTCATAAATCCCCAGCTCCTGGAGTGCCATGATTTTGTAACTCCCAGCTGGCTTTCAAACCAGTCTGGAGAGCAGCTTGAAGCGGTCAGCTGCCTGCTGCCCCTCGGACCGCAGAGGCTGGCAAACCGAAGCCCAGATGCTGGGGTTTTATCTCGCTTTTCTCGCTTGGGGCGAGGGAAAGGCAGGCTGCAGCTGCTGGGGAGGAGCCAGACCTGCCCCGGGAAGCAGTTTCCTACCAAAGGCTGCAGAACCTGGCCAGCCCCATGGGTTCGATAGGCACTGACACCCCGTCAGCGCTGCAACCCTAAAACTGGGGGCTTTCCTGCCATGGCGTGCACCCCTGCCAGCGTGTTTCCAATTTAATGCCGGCTGTTATTCGATCCCACTAAGTTGTTTGTATTTATGCCGCTGTGACCCATAATGAAATCCTCTTTTCTGGTCAAACCTGGGTCCCAGCGGTGGGAGTGGGAGCAGGGAGTGGTGGGGAGGGCAGGGGTCTCCTGCCAGCCACCCGGGACACCCCCGTGCATGGGGTATCCACTATGGTCCTGACCCTGTGGGATGAATTTGAGCAAGGGGAATGGAGGGGATGGAGCCGGGGGGGCTGGCATGTTTTGGGGCTGCAGGCAGGGTGGGTGTCCCTTGGGGCCCTGGGTGGCAGTGGCTGCTGGGCTACAACCAAACCAGACAACGCTTCATCCCCAGCAGAGCAGAAGCCTCTCTTGCTGGGGGCCGGGCAAGGAGCCCCTGGCAGCGCTGCCATCCCTGCGCAGAGCTGCAACCCGAGCAGGCGTGGGTCACCGGCTCCCGGGCTCGGGGTGAGCGCAGCGTGCGTGCTGGGAGAGCTGATCCACCCTAATCCCATCAATATTTCACAGGGCTCTGGCCCTGTTACGATTCCTGGCGTCATCCAGGGTGCCGGCTGGGACGGGGGTGCGGTGCCAAGTGAAAGACGAGAGCTGCCGCAGCTTCACCCTGGCTCCTTGGGCATCAGGGGGGCGAGAGGGGCTGGCCACGGGTGTTTCTACCCACTGCTGTGGGTAGGGCTCACCTGGCTGAATGTGGGCACGCTGCTGCGGAGCCGGCTGCCCCAGGGACAAACCCTCCCTGCCCAGCCCTCCCTCCGTGGGACGCGGTGTTTAAGTGACAAAAAGAAGAAATTAAACAGTAACCAGACTCTGGGCTGGTGATTGGGGCACTAAAATGTTTCCTTTTCCTAAAGGCTGTTTGGATTAACGGGGAGAAGAGAGTTTTAGGGATGAAATCTCCACGCGTGGCCCTGGGGAAGGGTGGTTTCCCAAGGCGCCATGGTGTGACCCGAAGGGCCCCCTGCTCCAGGCCGTCCTGGGGGCTGCAGGGCTGCTCTGATGGGAAATTCCCCTCGCAGCACCTTGCTGGCTCTGGGCTGAGGCTGGAGCCCAGGCGAGACCTCCCCGCTCGGCAGTACCGCTCTGCGGGGCAGAGGGGCAGGAGGGGGTCGGGTCGGGTCTGGTTCGGCTCCTGCCTGCTGCCGCCTGCGTCCTGCTCCAGCTCTTGGGAAAGCCGTGCAAATAAGAGCAAGGCCCTGGCCTTCAACCTCACAGCGTCTTAAATTCCTTCAGATAATCTCACGGGGGCAGCAAAGCAGGCGAAGGCTCTGAAAATAGATCTGTTTCCAGTTGCTGATGACTTGTGTTAATTAATTAAAGCCTCACAAGCTCGGGCCTGTAAATATGCAGTGCCGAACGCGCCAGGCTCTGCTCGCTCTTTGCTCATGCACTAATTACCCCACTGCAAGGCCAGGAGCTAACGCAGCTCCAATTTGTGCCGGCTTCGGCTTGCAGCCACGTGGGAGGACGCCTGCCTGTGCTGCCCGTGCGGGCAGGGAGTATCACTGCCGGCTGGGATGTGCACAGCGCCCTGGAGAGGGGGGGAGCCTGGGGCAGCCCCCTCCCAGCCCTGGCACCCCCTTCCTCAGTGCTCACGGACCTCAGAACTGGCCCTGCAGCCTCCAGCTGCGCCTCTTCGAAGGCAGGGGATAGGGTTTGGAGCGCCTGCGAGGGACTGGCCGCCTCACGGCACCTGAAGCCCCCACCGGGGTTAGACACTCTGGCCAAAAGCATCCCTGCCTTGCGGGCAGCGCCCGCTGCTTCAGCCTGCCCTCCTGCTGCCCAAGCAGCGCTCTGGCTGGGCTGCGGGTGAGCCTGGCTCCCGGTGCGTGGGCATCCCGCTTCCACAGGGTGGGTGGAGAGGCGCGGCGAGGCGTGGCGAGGCGTGGAGGAGATGCTGGGGTTTTGCCCAAGGACAGGAGGAAATGGTAATTAGCCGCTGGAGCGTATGGGAGGTGAGGAAGGGAGGACAGGGAGCACTGGAGGAGGTGGGTAGCATCTCCGCTCTGCTCTCCCGGGGTCCCTGGGAGTGGGGAAAGTGAACAGGTCCTGGCATCTCATGCTGGGCGAGGGGATGGCGGCTTTTTGGTGAGTGTGTGCGAGGGTGACAGAAACCACCCCGTCCCCAGGAGCACCTGGATGGGTCCCTCCTTGGCTGAGACCCGCCAGTGCCTGGGGGCTGGGGGGATTCAAGCCTCCGCTGCTCTCCCTCCCACCCACAGTGTTTTTAGGAGGCAGGACCCTGGCACTTAGAGGCCCCAGGAGCGGGATGTCAGCAGGGCTCCCCACAGGAGCACCCTGCCCCTGATGCCTTTCCCAGGTAAAAGGTCCCGGTGATGGGGAGGTCACAGCCGGGGCTGACCCTCATCCCTGGATGATGCTGAGCAACTTCAGCACAACCCACTCACCACTAAGCCCTGCCATGCGTCCGGCTCTGGGTCTGCAGGGTGTGGGGCTGGGGGATCACCCTCATTCCCCTTCCTGGAGATGGGACCTCAACCCTCATGGGGGCCTGGTACAGAGTGAAGGGGATGAGCCAGCACCCGAGGGTGCCGGTGCTGGGACTGGGCACCACGTGGCTTTGTAACCATGGGCTGGCAGCACTGGGCCACCCCGCCAGCTTTGGGAGCTGTAACCCAGCACACGCAGGTACAGCATCTCCCCAGCTCCTGCTCCGGCTGATTTCCAATTGCCCTAGATCCAACCTGCCGATTACATACAGCACTCGGGGTTTTGCTTTCGGGAGGCCTGCAGCCTCCCGCGACGGGTGAGGAGGGTGGGTTGGCCCGGCGCTGAAAGCTTGCGAAAGGAAAGCAAACACAGGCCCGAACCTGGCAGCTCCTGCCTGGGGGGGGGAGCCGCAGAAGCCACCCAGGACAAAAAGGGCCCCAAAGACACCATTGCCTGCCCATGTTTCAAAACAAGCTTCTGCCATGGGGGAACACGGAGTAAAGGGGAGGACTGTGTTATAGGAGGGCGTCGATGGGGCACGGTGCCCCGGTCCAGCGTGCAATGTGGGATGCGAGGAACCAGGGTGGGATGCGAGGAGCCAGGGTGGGTTTGGGGAGCGAGGAGCCCGGTGGGGCACGGGGGCAGCGGCTGGGCAGCCGTGGTGCGATGGCACTGCCCGCGCCGCGTTGGCAGAGCGGGATGCTGCTGACCGGCGCTCAGTGATGCCTTCCCACAGTCACCCGCCTCAGC